GTGTGAAGTTTTGGGACCCAATTTGTCATTCAGAGGGGTTCTCTGCTTTCCAGTCAGCTTTGCACCACTGTCCGTTATGACGTAAGAATTCTGGGTCACTCAAATGTCTCTCTCCCCTACACCAGCCCCTCCAGCGTACCTGTCCCCTTTTCCACCTTCATCTGGAATGAATGGAGAACTCCATCATTTCTCTTGAAAGAATTGAACACTGGACGAAACAGTCACTCTAGAGCGTGCTCAGTGTCACTGCTGGGCTGTAATGGGCTGGCAATGTCCTGCTCGGCTTCCTGCCTGCTGTTTGAGAGCCGAGCTCTGCATCCCGGTCAAGGGATGGTGCCATGTCACATCCGCAGGACCGCTTCCAGCCCCGTCTCGCAGTAGTCTCGGGTGGGAGAGACATCCTGTGAGCACATGGCTGTGGTTTTTCCATCGTGGACTCATCACTCTGCTCAGGAAGATAGATTCTTATTGTGCAACAGCTGCGACTCCAGGGTAAACTCTGACATAAAGCATTGTGTTCTTGACTGAATCAGCTAAAACAAAAACCGGGGGGCAGAAAAAAGAGCTGGGATGAGTTTCAAGTCTTTCTTTTACAAACAGCTACTTTTGGAGAAGCATTCAGATAGGCAATTAGAACAAATGACCTGCTCTAAAGAACAAGCTTGCCTTTCCAAAAAAAAAAAAAAGACAAATGGGAAAGATCATAACTCATCAGCACTGTGAAAGCTCCTGGCGTTCCTCCCTTTGTTGACCAGATGAGAGTATAATAGTTATATGAAGATGTTCAACCTTGTGGGAGACTGGCACCTCTAACCCCTGTGTTGTTCAAGGTCGGTTGGAGTCATTAGTCCCTATATAATTTAACTATTTAGAAAATTTCAAACATTTAACAAAATGCATAGGATCCTAGGAATCCTACCAGCTCTACGAGGTGAGGTTGAGTGTTGGTTTTTGACGTCTCAGCACCAACAGATATTTGATGGTTGCCTAAAATGTGCAAAACTCAAGGAGATACAGAAGCAAGTGGATGCAGATAGCCCTGAACTGTGCCTTCTCATCAGCATCCTGTAGGTAAGACACCTGAAGAATCCAAGCACATTCTAGACTCGTTAGACTGGTGGCTCTGCCGTTCGTGCAATAAACTTGCACCGAAATAGTCCTTGAGCCCATCACTCTCCTGAAGGATGTTGGGCTCAAAGGACCGATTCCTGCCCCAATAATAGTCTAGCTTGAAGGCAAAACCAGTGTCACTCTGCAGGGTTAAAGCTTACGTATGTGTCAAAAATACAGGAGTACAGATGAGAAGAAGAAAGATGGGAAGATGGAGATTAGTGGGACATGCACAGATCTAGAAGACGTCACGGGTGAGAAGAGGGTTGAGATAGACCCTGAATGAAGCAGGGTTTCCACAGGGGCCGGTGGTGGGGGAGAGCGGGAAGGGCTGTACATAAAAATGATGGGAGTTGTAAGATGTGCTTGGGCCAAGGAGGAAAGAAATGAGGTCCACTGGATCCCTCTCTTCAGGTTGGAGCTGGGAGAGAAGATTGGAGAAAAGATTAAGGGTATCTTGACCAAACAGGGTAACTGAGTAATAAAGAACTAATGTGTCTGAGTGTTTTAATGCAGCAAACGTTTTTCTTGCTCATTTAACAGTAGGTGTTTAGTGGGTAGTTTTCCATACGGTGACTCAGAGAAGCATGTTTTCCCATTTTTTGCAAAGTTCTTGATGACCCTTCCATCCAGCTAGTTATCCATCCAGTAGAGAAAGAAAGAGAGATAGTGGAGCCTTGTGCATGAAATACTTTTAAAAATTTACTTTTATTTTTTTATTGAACTTATTGGAGTGACATTGGTTAATAAAATTATGTAGATTTCTGGTGTACAGTTCTATGATATATCATCTGTATGTTGTATTCTGTGCTCACCACGCCAAGTCAAGTCTCCTTCCATCATCATTCATCCCTCCTTTACCCTTGCCTACCTTCCCTCAACCCCCTTTCCCTCTGGGTGCATGAAAGATTTTTATTGTTGACCCATGTGAGTGTGGTATGTTATTTCCATTCATCTCCTATTGGTCAGAACTGAGTCATATGGCCACACCGAACTGTAAGGGAGTCTGGGAAATGTAGTGCTCTGTGTTGGGAGCAAAAAGAAACAGATGTTAGTGAGCGACCTTTAGCCCGAGTGAGTTGAACTTGGTCCCGAATGCAGTGGTAAGTGGGCCTCTGCCTTAGCAGGGGGTCGTGCTCAGCGATGACATAAGCTCCTTAAAGAGAGTGACTTTTGTATGTAACACCCACTGCTGTATCCCCAGCATATGATAGGCCTTGACTACTTGATCAAATCATGAAATAATGGATGGATGCTGGAAAGGAGTCCTGGACATGTGAACCCTTCCTGGGTGAATTAGTGGCAGAGAGTTGAGGCAGGGAAGACAATTAAAAAGCGATTGTGTTCCTCTGACAGAGCCCAGGTCCGTGCAGGTACAGTAGGAATCGGTACATTTTTAGAAACAGAACTGTTTACTTCTGCTATTTTAACTTTTTGAGTTTACAAGGGAGCCACAGCTTATAGTTTAACCAGCATCCCTGAGGAGCTGAAATCTTAGGAGCAGGTTTCCAGCCAAGAGGGCCCGGGGCTTTCTTTGGAGCAGTCATTGGAAGGCGGCCTGGGGACTGGGGCTGGGCCACAACGCTGCAACCCAAACAAAATAAAACTTGACCAAGCCAGCAAACCCCGATTGGAGTTCGAGTTACCTTAGCAGACTCTGGGGAAACACACACTGCAGTTGTATTATGTATGCAAAATGCGCTCTCTGACCTTATTGTAAGGAAAATTACTGGCGTCCACAGAATCTTCTGCCAGCTTTCCAAAGTGTTGGACAAGTTCACTCCTATGCAATTATGCAACATTTAAAAAAATTTAATTTTAAAACATGCTGAAAAATAGATGCTGATCCAACAAGGACAGAGAGTATTGCTGCAAAGAATCCATCCTCTGTGCACCTAAGAGAAGCTGGCACACAGCTCACCTCCTGTGGCCTGAGGCTTCCAGATTTTAGGGAGTTATTTGTAGATAGACTTCTTTGAATTAAAAGCTAAGGGTAGCCCTAGCCGGTTTGGCTCAGTGGTTACAGCGGTGGCCCAAGGACTGAAGGGTCCCCAGTTTGATTCCAACCAAGGGCATGTACCTCGGTTGCAGGCTCAATTCCTAGTCCCAGTCCGGGCATGTGCGGGAGGGAACAAATCGATGTGTCTTTCACATGGACGTTTCTCTCTCTCTCTCCCCCATCCAACTCTCTCTGAAAAGCAATGGAAAAAATATCCTCAGGTAAAAAAAAGCTCAGGGCAGCCTGTGCCCCCCCCCCGATCTGACATTTGCGGTTGATGTATAAGCTGGGGCCGACCTCGGAGCCTGGCCCCCGGTTGGGCAGTGCGTCTCTGGAGGCCGGTAAAAGGCCAGACTTTAGGATTATGCAGAGCTGAGGGAGGAACCTCACCAGGAACAGCCAGGGATTCTTAGGAGCTTTTTAGTGATTCTTGCTGATCTGAAAATAATGTAAAAACAACAGAGGAGCTCTTTGTGGTATTTTCACATGTTCTTTATTGGTTTGGGGAAGGATCCAACAGTAAAGTGGTTTAAAAATCATAAATATTTAAAAAGACATAATGTGCCCTACCCTTTTCATCCGTCCTCACCAAAAAATAAACTGTAATAATAGAAATGGCAAGAACGGAGAGAGAGCAGAAACAGCAGGAGACGGCGGAGTGCTAGGAGGGGATAAGTGTGACCCAAGCAGTGTCCATGCAGAAGGTGGTGGGGAAGGTGAGAGGAGATGCCCAGGGCGAATCTCTTTCCTGCCAGGCCCAGGACTCTTGGAGTTGGAGGGGCGTTCCTCTTTCCCGGAGGCCTCTGGAGATATAACTTATCAGCCTGAGACAATGGATACCTGAGGGTCTTAATTTGGTTTCCGCCTCAAATCCCAGAGAAACCAACCCATTGAAATTATTCACAAATTGGATAGCAATTCATTCTGCACAGGGTGGTTTTCGCCTGAGCCTTGCAAAGTTGTTGGATATGAATTGATTAGAAAGCAGGGTTTCTTTCATTGTTTTTTTCCTGTCCCAGTTTTCTAAAGATTCAGTTACAAGTTACTCAGGGTTGAAAAAGAGGTGCCTCTGCGAGGGCTAGAGGGGGGGAATCACATTATCAATACTGCATCTCATCTTCTGGGAGGAAGGGATGGGTTTCAGCAGCCATGGGGGCTGGAGGGTTGAGAATGAGGGGCAGGGACAATATCTGAAGGCCCCAGGCCTCTCCCAGAGCACAGGGAGGCTCTGCCAGTCCTCCCAGCATCAGCCATCGTGTACCTTTGCTTAGCTGATGAAAACAGATGAGGTTGGCTGGTAAATTCAGTGCAATTGTTCTTCTGAACCCCGGCTTCCAGTGACCCATTCTGAGCAGATTGGCTGCCTCCCCTAACCCCAGCCTCACTGAGCCATCCCAGCAACACCCGTAAACTGTGGCAGGAAGGGAAGCCTTCCTGGAGGAAGAGGCATGCGGGACCTACCGAGAGATGGTGTGATAGAGGAAGGAAAGTCTCAGCAAAACCCAGAGAGCTCCTTGGCTTGTTTGGGGGTCAGAAAGGGAGGCCAACTTGTCCCTGTTTGCCTGACACGTTCTCAGTTTTGGTCCCTAAAGTCTCAAATCTCAGGCTCACTAGTACAGTTGGCTGGTCTTCAAAAGGACAGAGATAGAGGCGGTGGCTGGTGTAAGAGGTGATGCCACCATCGTCCCTTGAAGGGCAGTCTCTTTGCTAGTATAGTCCCTGTGGCTTGCAGGGAAGGTAGAGGGAGGCTCAGGAGAAATCACACGGATCTCAGCAGTCACCCCAGGGACCTAATATCAGGGAAAGCCCTGGTTTGGTCCAGAAACATTGATCGTCCGATCTGCATTCACTGAGTTTGCTAAATGTGCTTTTCTCTCTCTCTTTTCTTCAGAGAGGCAGGACACAGTGCGTGCGGGAAGTCTGCCCCATTCTCTCCTGTCCTCAGCACCTTAGTCACATCCCCCCAGGACAGTGCTGCCCCAAATGTTTGGGTGAGTGAAAGTTTTTTTAAATTTTTTAAAAAAATATGTCTTTACTGATTTCAAAGAGAGGAAAGGAGAGGGAGGGAGAGAGAAACATCAATGATAAGAGTCATTGGTTGGCTGCCTCCTGCACGCCCCCGACTGGGGATCAAGCCAGCAACTCGGGCCTGTGCCCTGATCGGGAACCGAACCACGATCTCCTGGTTCATGGGTTGACGCTCAACCACTGAGCCACACTGGCCGGGCAGGTGAGTGACAATTTTAAGGTCAAAGAGCAATGTCATATATCCTCGCTGTGTTCCGCGGGGGGTGTTCATCCACATTGTCTCCGAGGGTCCCAGGTTGGCCTATTTTCGTGGCAGCGACTCTAACTAGAGCAGCGTGAGGCGGGCACAGGGTGTCGCTTTGCCGAGGCCTCCCCAGAGGTGCCTTCTCCCCGGCCCTCCGTGTCTGCTGTGAACCTACCCACGGGACAGCCGGGATAACCCCCTCCGGTGGGACGGCAGCACTGAGGACGCTGCCCTGAATCGGGCTTGTGATGATAGGTTGGGACAGATTTTCAAGGCAGGTAAAGTGAACGCACAGAGGAATGTAGACGAGTGGTACTTTTAGAGACAAAAGCGTAACACGCCCAAAACAAGAGGTTTGGAAGGGAACATCGATAACAGCCGAAAAAGGGGGTGCTAGCTCTCTCACCGTGTATTTACTGTGTACCAAGCGCCACGGGAAACACTGGGCTTCTTCCTATTTCATCTTAAGCTGTGCACCCGAAACCTGTATAATTTTGTGAGCCAGGGTCAGCCCAATAACGTCAATAAAAAGTCATCTTAAGGAGCTGTGATATACAGGTACTAAGTAGATTACATCACCCCGATGTGTGATCGAGGTGCGATGATTACTTTTACTGTCCCCAGAGGAGAGCAGGTTTGGGAAGGTGGCACAGCGAGGGCGCGATGGGTCGATACCCGAGCAGGAGCCTCCGCGGTTCCTAAGCCTGGCTTGCACCTGCTGCAGCCCGCGGCCCCGGCGACACGGAGGACCGCGGGCGTGTCGCCACCTGAAAGGAGACAACCCATGACGGGGGGTCTCTAGAGCATGAGGTTCTCTGGCTTTTGTTTATAATCCACATGTCAGCTTCCTCCATAGGATCCTCGGCCCCTTGAGTTAGTGGAGGTCAGATTATTTAAGATTCAAACAGAAGTAGCCGGAGCCATCCTGTGAATCCACTAGAGCATCCAGCGAGCCCGGCAGACTCTCCAGGGGTCCTTGGGCCAATGTTGTCCCAAGTCTCCGCTGGCCTTGTGCTTCTGCTCTCGCCGTTTCTGTCTCTGCTCCCTTCCTTTCCTTCCCCCTGCCCTCCTCCTCGCCTTCCTCCTCCTGTATCTTGTCTTTGCAGAGATACATCCATCCGGCCTTTTCACATATTATAGGGCTGTTGAGTCAAGACTTGCGTAGCAGATTCTGCGGAAGGTTTGCCATCCACGAGGACGGTTATTTCACAGAGAAGCACAGGGAGCACGTAGAATGAAATACTGGGCTTCCTTTCTCTGTAAAGGTCTTGGCCATTTTTGCCTTTGGGAAAAATTTACAGCTTGCCTCTCTCACTTGGGCTCCAGCCTCCAGGGACAGTCCACACCCTTTTCTTGAATCCTCTCTGCTTTCTCTCATAGGTTCCTTTTCCCAATCCTAGCACATCCTGTTGATTAATTTTCCGCCTTCCCAGCTCGCCACAGCTATCCCCTGAAGTCTATCTTTCTGCAACCAAATTGGCACATGAAGGTATCTTGTCAACCAAGGCAGGTTTCTCCTCTCTCAGGGATTTGACAGCCAACTCTTCATCTAACGACGTTTGCCTTCCTGCTACACACACACACACACACACACACACACACAGATATATACTTTTTAAGTCAATATGACATAATTATAAGAATGAAGGAGACTGGTTTAGACATGCCCGACTAAAGACATTTCCACTGACTCACGTGCTCCTTGGATGGTCAACGTGTGCTCGTGCCTCCAGCAGAGAGTTGGCCAGTCCACTGTGGTTAAACCATCACGCGTGGGCCGTGGTGGAGGCAGTGCTCCACCTAAGCAGGAAAGTCATCCCAGGGGAGGTGGTGTTGGGGGCCTGGCCTCGAAGGTAAGTAGGATGCTGGATGCTTTGAAGCCAGTACCATGCATAGGCTGAGTCAGCTCAGAAGTTTCTCGTATGAGCAATGGCTACTGTATTGAATGCAGATTTCTCTGTCCATTTGTGGTCATAAAACAGACTACAAAAGGAACAGAAAGTCTTACAAAACGTGTCAGTCATAATTCTCCCAAATGAAAGGTTTTTTTTGGTTGGGCTAAACCCCCGGTGGAGTAATGTGGAAATGGCTCCAATCTGGCTGTACACGGAGTCTCTGAACCACTTTTTTGAATGTTTTATCTTATTTTGAGCTATGGTGACTTTGAGATTAAATTAAGATTTTATGTTCTTTGGGGGTGAAAGTAAACATACCCAGACACCCAAAAGACAGAAAGGAAAAAAAGAAAACATTAGGATACTATCTAGATGCTGAATCTTAGAATAATTAGACTTTTGGCTGGTTGGACACTTATTTGCTGTTAAATCTTCCCTTCGCCAAGATTCATTCACGTGACATACGTCTGTCTTACATCACAGCGTTCTCTCCCTCTCCTTTCTCATTTGCACTGAAGAGTCTGGTCAGAGTTTTGTGTACACAGAGCACCCAATGGCCCTTTCAGAGTGACATAACCCAGGACCATATCTGAGTTATACCACCACTAATAATGACAGTGCATATCATCTCACACTTTTTGGGGTATTTAATGAGTGCCAGACTCTGGGCTAAGATATTTTTAGGTAAAATTCACATTTCATTGAGGATAATTTATGCCATTGGTTACATTTGTTCAGGGTAGGGGGCGGATAAACTCGTTGAAGAGTCTTTTTGTTCAATGATCTACTACTACATCCATCCATCCGCTTGCCCATCCATCCATGCAACAATATTGAGTACTATAATTGTAGTAAAAGAAACAGGAAGGGGCATTCATTCTAAGAGGAGAAAGACCTCCTCGGAACATGTATTTTGATTGACAGAGAAGAAAGCTGAACCATATCTATATCCTGCCTTTTATTAGTGCTGAAATCACGTTTTGTGGGTTTGTGTCCCCAGCACACTGTGAGGGCAGGTCTACGCCTGAGTCCTCTTGGTTCGCTATCTGGGTATATAATAAAGATTGGTTGAACCTCTAGTGTGCAATCCAAGCCTTTGTAACAAAAATTCTCTAAACTAATGACTCCTGAGGATCCCCCGGGAACACCTGACCCAAGGCTCTATTTTTGTGCATCAGGTGGACCTGGTCTTGTGAGAACATTCAGCTGCCCTGTGTTGTGATTGCTGATGGCGAAGCGGGACATCCCTGGCTCCTGTCTCGCTTACACTCTGCCGTTGTGTCCCTCTAGGTCAGAGGAAGGTGTTCGACCTCCCGTTTGGAAGCTGCCTCTTTCGCAGTGATGTTTACGACAACGGATCCTCATTTCTCTACGATAACTGCACTGTGTGCACCTGCCGGGTATGGGGTTCTGAGGGGCTGTTGTCCAACAGTGATAGATATAGATAGCACTTGGGGCGTTAGTGTTAACATTATGGCCAAACACGATGTGTCAGATCTCAGAGGGAGGCATTATGGTTGCCATTTTATTTATTTATTATTATTTTTTAAAAATATGTTTTTATTGATTTCAGAGTGAGGAAGGGAGAGGGAGAGAGAGAGAAAAACATCAATGAGAGAGAAACATCGATCGACTGCCTCCTGCACGCCCCCTACTGGGGATGGAGCTGGCAACCTGGGCATGTGCCTGGTGGGGAATTGAACCGTGACCTCCTGGTTCCTGGGTTGCTGCTCAACCAATGAGCCACACCCGCCAGGCGATTGATGCCATTTTAGAGGTCACACCTAAGGTCACAAGGAATTTCAAACATAAGACCCAAATTACGGTTCACTGTCATCTTCCTGGGAACAGCAGGTTAGTTCCTGGAGGTGAGAAGTGCGCTGAGGGGCTGTCTGAGGCACTTGCTAGACTCGGGCGGGTACGCGTGGCGGTGCCCTCTGGATCTAATCATCCAGGACAAATCCTCCGGCACACCTGGCAATAAAACCGGCTTTCCTCACATCCGAGGGAAAAGAACGGCATGGATTTACAGTGCGTCACCGGATCGACCTGGCAGCTTGGGAAGAGAGTATTTATGTTTTGTTCACCGTAACATTTCTTACTTGAGGCATTGCTCACTTTCCTCAAAAGGCGACCAGAAGTCTAGTGACTGGTAAAGAAAGCATTCCACCACGCCCAAATGGTAAAGGGACACATACTACACGTTTCTAGACTGTGCTTCTGCGGTGATTTATTTTTGGAACCAAGAAGGGAATCATTTATTGGAGGAGCTTAGGATCANTGTGCTTCTGCGGTGATTTATTTTTGGAACCAAGAAGAGAATCGTTTATTGGAGGAGCTTAGGATCATTCATTAGTGAGTTAACCCAGACATCTGTGTGACATGAGTGTGGAATAAGATATTTTGGTGCTGATGGTGGTTGTTTTGTTTTTAGTAGCTAAAGGGCAAGAGAGGGAACAAGAGGAGGTTTGCTCAATGTCGGCTGTGAGTCAGGAGCCGTGGTGAGAGCTCAGAAGGTCCCGATTGCTCGAGGCTGGCTTTGTTAAGCAGCATGTCCTACTTCAGGGAGGCGGCTGAGTGAGGCTGACCTGTGTGTTCCCTGGTACTGAGCACCGAGCCACTCCTAAGCCCGAGAATACTTTCCCCAGGCTCCCTCCTCTCTTTGTGTTTGTATTATCCTATCCTGAACACATAGCCACTCCTTCTGTTGGCCTTGGCCTCCATCCTCAGGACTTCTCTTCCTCTCCTGGAATTTCACAGGTTCTAACATCCTCTTGGGGATCCTGAGCTTTTGATAAAACCCATGTCATTCCCTGTTCTCTTGACTGTAGAAAGGCCAGGCATCCCATGAATGGGAATTAGCTCTGCTCACAGTGCTATGGGTCTCATGGATTCCCTGAGAGATGATTAGGAAATATGTCCCAGGACTCAAAAGAAGTGTGATTAACACTGTTCCTTCAAGAGGCTGTTTTATTAGAGTGCGTTCGCAGTCCTCTTTGGGAAATTGGAAGCTTGAAGAATCAGACTGTAATCATTTAGGAGAGTCAGTGTTATTTTCTCTTTGCTTAGAGCTACCTGGGACTCTTCTCCATCCCTGCCTTCCACTAAATTTCATAAATGTTTGGCTCTTCTAGCCCTTCCAGCTGTCAACCTGCCCCAGGTGAAGTTGTGTCTTGTTGCCTGGGGACTAGGAATGTTTGCTTTTCTTAAGCTGCTCTGCACGTCTCTTCAGTGAGTTGTTGGATGAATCAGTCAACACAATTCTCTCAGCTGTTTTGCTCATGGAATACTCTTTGAGAAATCAAGTCATACCCTTTTAAGTTGCAGATATAAACATGTCACCCTCAGACGTTAAGTGGCCTGGTTAAGGTGACACGGAAGAGCCCTGGAATCCAGGTCTAGTTTTGGAATTGCTCGGTCCACTCCCTTGTGAACATAGAACACACTGAAGTGGAACATTAACTCTTGAATTTTTGCTCTTTGATCAGAGATATCCTGTCTTTTTGCTGAACTCCTAGGAGGTGGCATGAAGCCAAGGGGCAGCCCCAGGGAGCAGTGTTAATGACGCAAAAAGGATAGGAACTGGTTGGCCCATCTTGAGCTGGGCCTTCTTGCACATGCTGGCTGAAACAGAACCTTTAGTTTCTTTTTTTAAATATATTTTTATTAATTTTCTTAGAGGGAGGGAGGGAGAGGGAGAGATAGAAAGAAACATCAATGAGAGAGAAACATGGATTGGCTGCCTCCCCCACGCCCCATATTGCGGGATTGAGCCCACAACCCGGGCATGTGCCTTGACCGGGAATCGAACTGGTTGACTTCTTGGTGCACAGGACGACTCTCAGCCACACCGGCCAGGCAGAACCTTTAGTCTCTTGAGCATTAAATTATAAACTCTTAGAAGGTAGGGAGCATATGTCACCCTTTTCATAGTCCAGATATTTAATCAACAAACATTTTGAAGTGGATGAAAGATTTACTGCAATAAATTAAAATGCGGAACCTTCAGAATAAGTTCGAAAGCAGTTAGTTGCGGGTCATTAAAGCAAGGCCAGGGAGGATGTTCGGTAGGGGTGGAGATCTTTTTAATCTCTAGTTTTCCTTGGGCCCCCAGGACTCTACCGTAGTGTGTAAGAAGACGTGCTCCCGCCCTGGAGGCTGCGACAAGGGCGAGGAGGCCTGCTGTGAGCAGTGCCTCCTGCGAGTGCCCCCGGAAGACGTCAAAGTGTGCAAGTTCGGCAACAAGATTTTCCGGGTAGGTCATGAGTCAGGTTCATGGAAATTACTGTATATACTGAATTGTAAAAAGCTCCAAACAAAATGCAGAATGGAGTCTTCCATATTTTGTGTGTGTGTATATGAGTGTGCTAATCTGTAAATGTACTTATTTATATCATAATATTACATATTTAGAATCAAGTACACATAGGGACAGAGAAGCAACTGTTTGGAATGTTTTTCTTTGAAAATATTTTCTTTTGAAAAATGCTTTATAAAATATTTTAAACTTGTAAGAGGTGGCTTTTTCTCCAGAGGTACAGGGCTGCTTGTGGCTTGGCATTTGGCAATTGCAGATCATAAATCCAGTGAGCCAAAGAAATTCTTCACACAGCCCTTTCTGGGCGAGAAGTGTGTCCCAGAGCGCTCCCCGGCTTTCTGGGAGGAAAGAACCTGACAGGCAGGGGCTTGTATGAGTGGCTATTGGAGTCTGCTGTTGGGCCCCACATTTTCCGATGACTCGCTGGTCAGGTGTCTGCCTGGGCAATGGGAGTCATTGGAATTATCCTCTGTTCTTGGCATGTTGGTGCCCAGTGTGGTCCAGAACCATGTCACATTTAGGAGAAAACCAATCACCTGTGGACTTGTCAATTAACGGCTGGTGCCTGGCACAGCTCAAACATTTCTGTCCTATCAAACGAGGAAAACTAGACCTTTGTTATTAAATCGTGTATGAAAACTCAGGTTTGTCTCCCGATGCAGGAGGAGCCGGGTGCAAGTAGCACTTAGCCGCCCAAGAATTCTTTTTATATCCTGGAGGGAAACACACACATACCCACTCAAATCTGATCTTACGTTAAATCGGTTAGGCGCAGTAGATACCTCGGAGTAATTTAGTCCAGTGATGGCATCTGCATTCAGGGTAAGAAATGCTTTGGGTGACAGAGGAGTCCCAGCCTGTTGGAGTGGCTCCCCTCCGCCCCCAGCGGATGGCAGCACCCTGTGCTCTCTCCCCCAGGATGGAGAGATGTGGTCCTCCGTGAACTGCACCATCTGCGCTTGTGTCAAAGGCAGGACAGAGTGTCGCAAGAAGCAGTGCGCCCCCATCAGCAGCTGCCCGCAGGTACGTGTGGGATGCAGGCTGACCTGCCTTTACCTGGGCATCCCGGGAAACGTCCTGTGTGTGGCATGGCCCCATGGCCACTTCCAAGTTCCCAAACAGCCACTTGCCCCTTGCAGAGCTCGCTTGGCTCCTCTGCAGTTTGCACCCGGATCCCAGCCTTGCGTGGAAGCAGCTCACGCCTTGCTCTTGTCTCTGCTGCCCTGTTTCTTAGTGACTTGGCCCAGGTCTTTGTTTTAATGACTCAGCTCCTGCTGGGTCTTCTGTTGAACATCAGTGGCACCCTTTGTGGTCCCCCCCCCGCCCCAGGTCAGAGTTTTCTCCCCGCAGCCACACACCCACATAAGTGGTTGTTGCTCAGCAAATTTCCCAAGGGCTTCCCCCGGCCCCCTCTGAGGTTCTCCCTCTCAAACCCTGGCCTCCATTGTAGCCCCGAATGGCGATCGCATCCTTGTGGAAACATCTCTTTTCAGAGGCCCCTGGTTCCCGCGGCTCCTGAATAAAGTGGCTATTATCTTCTAAAGCACAAGTTCAGTGAATTCGCCCCGGCAACTCGAGACCCCTCAACGTTTCATGCGTTTTGGGAAAATGTCAGACCTATTCAGTCCCTTCCAGTGAATGAAAAAAAAAAAAAAAAGCATCCCTAGGTTCGGGACAAGTCCTCCCTTCTGTGCTATCGACAGCCCTTAATTTCATTCGCATCTGTTATTATTGTAAACAGAAAGGCGCTCTTTTTGCTCCACTGCCAGACAAGGCACGAGAAAGCACAGCTGCTGCTCTTGCACAACTGAAGACGGGGGGAGGGAAATAAAGGGAAAATAAGAAGCCCTAATTAGTCTTGCTTTAAAGAGCCTCAGACATAAAACTGAAACCCCCCTGTGAAAGGAGAGCAAAAAGGAGATTCGGTTCAGACGCGAGCATGGTCTGCTTGTAAACAGTCACCGGGAAAACAGGCTCCCACCTTCGCTGCGCGTCCCGGGGGCACCCGGCCGCTAATGGCCTCTTGCCGCGCGTTAGCCATAATGGGCCCCCTTATTCCGCCAGACGAAACGGGGCGCGGTGCCAACCTGGTGGCTCACGTAACGAGCTCCGCGGGCCGCGGGGGACAGTCCGGTTCACGGGCGTCCTGGCGCTGGGCGGGGCCGTGATTTTCGCGTCCTCTTGCTGCGGGGAGGTCAGCGCTCTTTGTCACTGGCGGCATCTTGTTGGCATTTCTGCTTTGCGGGCCCTGTTTGGGCCCGGGGCGTCCATGCCTCCAGTGCTGGCCTTCCCCCGGCGCCCGCCTCCGCGTCTTGTCAAAGCTTGTCAGCGCCCGGCTCCTGCCCCGGGGCCACCTTGCCGTTCCTGGGCCTCTTTCCAACCCGTCCTCCAGCTCACGCTCTCCCTCCTCCGTGGCCAACACAGGGCTTTGGAGAAAACTTAATTCTACCATGGAAATCTGTTACTCACTTACCCCCGCCCCTGCGTCGCCTGGGGAAGTGAAAAAATCCCAAGAATCGCCCCGCGTCCCTGCCCCGTCCGTCCCAGGCTCTGCACGCCTCTTTCACCGGCAGTAGCCGGGCCTCACTGTGGAAGGATCTTACGGTTGGATTTCTTGTCCACCCTCCCTGCCAACTCCCCAGCGGCAAAAGGGGGCCTTTTGTGGGGACAGGGCTGCTATGACGCTGTCATCTCATCGTCACTGACATGTGCTGTGACTTTCTATGTAGTCACGGGACTAACCCCATCTAATGCTGAGACCACCCTCTGAGGTGGGTGCTGTTTCTGCACCCTTCTCACCAGTGAGGTCGCAACGTGTCTGGAGCCCCCCAGCCAGTCGTGTGTAGCCAGGAGCTCTGACCTCAGCTGGTGCTTGAGTTACCCCTCCTGGCTTAGTAATATGACCAGCCCCACTTGCACTATTTAAAGAGGTGGATGGCGGTGTCTGCCACTGTGCAGGGGTAGGGGACCCCATCGTCTTGTGTTGCCCGGGCCTTGGCTGTAGTCAGCTCTGTTCCATTTGGATAGAGCACCTCACTCCATCCCCCTGGGGACGTCGTGCCATCAGCNGGTAGGGGACCCCATCGTCTTGTGTTGCCCGGGCCTTGGCTGTAGTCAGCTCTGTTCATTTGGATAGAGCACCTCGCTCCATCCCCCTGGGGACATCGTGCCGCCAGTCTGAGCCAAACACCTGGTTTTGTCCACAACTGCTTTCAGTCTGAGAAGCCCAAGAAGACCGGGTGCTGAATAGAGAATCAGACGTGGTTCTGGTTCTTCAATTACTAACCAGCCTTTTTTGAGTCTGTATGACTCAAAAATCTATTCTTTTTTGTTTGTTTTTTAATATATATTTATTGATTTCAGAGAGAGGAAGGGAGAGAGAGAGAGAAACATCAATGATGAGAGAGTTGTCATTGATCGGCTGCCTCCTGTAGGCCCCCAACTAGGGATCGAGCCTGAAACCCGGGCATGTGCCCTGACAGGGAATCGAACCGCAATCTCCTGGATGCTAGGTCGATGCTCAACCACTGAGCCATGCTCATCGNATTTCAGAGAGAGGGAGGGAGAGAGAGAGAGAGAGAAACATCAATGATGAGAGAGTTGTCATTGATCGGCTGCCTCCTGTAGGCCCCCAACTAGGGATCGAGCCTGAAACCCGGGCATGTGCCCTGACAGGGAATCGAACCGCGATCTCCTGGATGCTAGGTCGATGCTCAACCACTGAGCCATGCTCATCGGGGCTCAAAATCTATTCTTGATGCCACTCACCAGTAGTGAATGAGTGGATGGACCTTATACTAACTGTGTGGCCTTGATACAGGCCTTGAGCCACCCCTGTGGGCTCTGTTTCCTAGTTTCCTATACACAGGCCCAGGGACACCTACATTTGGAGGATCATCGTGAAGTTTAAATGAGATAAAGTATGAAGAATGCACAGCAGATACCCAGGGAATGTTACATTCTCTTAGAGATAAAGGATCAGAAAGAATAAAAGTCTGGAGCGGAAAGGACATGGCCTTTAGGGTTACACAAAATCAGGTTTGATTTTGGGTTCTACCACTGTTGCATTGCATGACATCAATTTCTTCACCTCTAAAAAGGGAAGTACTCAGCTCATAAGATTCTTGGCATCTTAGTAATAATTGTAATAATATATAATGCTAAGTAAACCTTAAATGTTTTAAGTATTAACTTATTAAATCCTTAGAACTAACCCGATGTGGGTAACTTAAGGAAAATATCTGGAAGGATGTTTGTTCCATAGCAAAGTGCTCTGTAGATGTTCATCTTTTCCCACATTTCTTTTCCTCTGTGAGTCCCCATGTTTTCCCACATTTTGTTTTCTCTGAGTCCCCCTGAGTTAGAGATAAGACAGAGGCCTTTTCTGATTTGGGCCCTGAGACTATGCTTCCTCCTTTAAATGTCATGCACTAAAAAAAGGGGAAGAAATACATTTTAGGAGATTACTCTCTGTTTCCAGAAAGGTAATGGAAAATTACTCAGCACTTCACAACTCTCGGCTTCGTTGGCTTCGATTGCATAACAGTTTCCGAAAGAAGAAAGCTGACTGAACCTGATCTGTAACCCAGATACTATCCGTATCCATAGACCCGCACTTGGGTTACTGTTTATTGTTTGGGCCCCTCCAAGAAGAAAAACAGAATGGAGGCCTCACAGGATTGATAGGTCGACAGACGATTCCTGTTTTTATGTGTGTGCTCTCAGTCTGTAAGGGCTAGATTTGGGTATCAGGGAAAAAGTTGAATCCAGACTGTCTCCATCTTTCATCCAAGTGAGAAAGATCACACCCGCGAGTCCTTTAGCTATTCTGTTTCTCGGCGGATCCAAACAGGAAAGCTTCCTCAATGGCTTTGCCTGGCCTGAGAACCTGATACTTGAAATGTCATTTTCACCCTCATCACCACCATCTGGGCATCGAGTTCAAATACAGCTTGGACTGGTTTCATTGGTTTGCCTGGTGTTAAATTTAAAATAGAGTTTTGACCTCCACAGTCTCTGTTTTTTAACATTAAACTCTTATTTGTTTTTCTCTTGACTAGGGTAAAATTCTCAACAGAAAAGGATGCTGCCCTATTTGCACTGAAAGTAAGTTTATCCCTTTGAAAATGTGCTGTTAATATTGATTTTGATTTCACAGCGCAACAAGAAAAATGATGGTGTAAGTTTTCGGCATGTGTTGTTTCAGTTGGTATAGGATGGGGCCCTCCCGCTCCTGACGAACACTTTCAGTTGATCATAGTTCCCTCAAAAAGCACAACTGGAATTTGTTGCTATGAGAAACTTAGAAAATAAAGGGTCTGATGAGGTTAGAAGAAGGACCAGATAGCTCGGTGTGCATTTTATTAACTGCTAATCGCATTTGCAGTGCTGGTGGCTAAGAGAATGGTATCCGGTAAAACCAAACAATATGCGTCATCAGGAGGGATCGTCCTTTGATCTTTCTACAGCCCAGCAGCTGTGCTTACGACCCCGCCCTCACCCCCACTCCCACCTCTTCACCTGGGCGCATCCAGTGTGGCCGTTGGCAGAGATGAAGCAAGAGGTCTCTGGCCTGGCAGTGTCTGGCCACCCTGGTGTTTTTAACTGAGATCTAACATGGCCCATTCCCCGCACAGACCGAGTGCACGGGTCTGCTGCCCCGCCCCCACGAGCAGACAGCTGCCCGAGTCTATTAGCAGGTGGAGTGTCTTCCTCAAATGCCTACGGGGTTGAGACAGCTTTCTGAAGGGTTTCATGGAAAGAGGAGAATTAGTCATGCCACCGTTTAATCAGTTTCCAAGTATGAAAAGCAGAATTAGCAAAGCCATGAAATCTATTGGGAAGTATTTTATGAGCCAGCCGGGGTATATGTTATTATATATATCATATTATATTATTATATATTATATATACATATATGTCACAAGGTTTTGAGATGGAGAGCTATTAAATAATTATGCATTACACACTGGATAAAAGTACTGATTGAATCAATGAAAATTAAATTATAGATTTAATAGAAGACCATTTCTTTAAAGATAATGCAGTACATAAGATAACTCAAAGGAGGCCAACGAAATAGGACGTCGTAGTGTCCAGGAATTAAAGCAAAAAGAATTAGCTACAGTTAATACACCAGTTAATTTTGAAACACATGTATAAGCTATTATACTTAATCACCCCCCCAGGGACCCTCTGGGGAAATGTTTACAGGTGGTTGGAGGCTGCTTCCAGCTCAAGTCCTTTCTGGATGAGCAGAGAAGAGTCTAAATTGATGGTTTTCATCCATGTCAATGGATTTGTTTGTATTTCCCTAGAAAGTATCTCCTCGTTGAAGCCGAGGTGGACTTCAAAGGAGCCCCCTGGATTTTTCTAGCGACCCTTTCAACGTGCCTGAGCGCAGATAGGTTGCATGTGCCCATCCCACTGCTTAGCAAAAACACATGGCAGTCTGAGCAGAAACAGCCTGAATCTTGAATCACCTGGCTTTATCCTACAAGAGTCAGGACAGTGATTACTGAGAGAGCTGAGAGCAAAGCTGCATTTTGTTATTGCTTTATCCATGAAGTATTTGCCTTTCCATATTTAGAATACGGGTGGGTTATCAGAAAAAAAAAAAGAGAAGAGAAATAGAAGGTTGGGCATCACAAAATCAAACCAGCTTTTCAAGCAGTCACATTAAATATTGGGGGAAACACGTGAAGGAGCCCATGACCTCTGTCACTGAGAGAGGCAGTTGGCAGGAGAGAAAGCCACCCAGCTGCAGGGGTACCGGGAGACCGTGAACTTGGTGCACCTGCATCCAGCTGGGCAGTGCAGGGGGAGCCGGCATGTGATTCTCGGTCCAGCTCTACATGACATCATCAGATGGCTATTTCTCAGTTTCCTTCAGTGCTCTTTCCATCTGTTTGCTCTCTTGCTGTCCAGCAGCTCTTCCATCAGGCCTGTAAAACACATTCTATTGGGCAAAGTTTATTTGTTCAGATGGATTTAAGAGATGGGATGCCTTCCAGTTTTTTAAAGCAATGCCCAGATCTTCCTAACTCATCCAGGTGGACTTCTTCTGATGTCCTTTAGCTGAGGCCAGAGGCCGCCTATTTTGAAATTCACTTGTCGTTATAGCCAGGGTCCGGAAGAAACCTTTGGGCTTGTTCTTGCCTCCTCCGTCAGTTCCTAAAGCTCTTCTGATATGTGGGTTTCCAGGGCAGGCAGATGGAGGCTGGAGTAAAAATGAAGGCTGGTGTTTTCTGAAACCAGAAAAGTGACTGATTTCCATTTTATTTAAACAAAATCACACACATTCATACCGAATTAGTTACTGCAGGATTTTCAACCTCTGCATTACTGATAGATTGGCCAGATAACTCTTTGTTGTGGGCCTGGCCTGTGCATTGTATGACCTTCAGCAACATCTCTGGTCTCTACCAACTAGATGCAGTAACACTGCTGTCCCCAAGGCTGTGACAATCAGCACTGTCCCCAGACGATGTCAAATGTACCCTAGGGAGTCAAATCGCCCCTGGTTGTGAACCATTGGTACTCCAAACGGAGGTAACAGCAAAGGTGAACTGGGAAATAAACACCTGTGGTACCAGTAACAGTCAGTCCCTCTCAACACACTACTAGACGAAGTGGAGGGTCAGGTGAGGCTGCCCTTCTCCCCGAGGGAAACGCAACAGACCAGAAGCCTCTGGATTGCTTTGAGTGTGCGTCTGTATTTCATTGCCTAGCCCTACAAAAAAAAAATGATAAAGGCATAATTATATCTGGACTAACTGAAAGTCACCGTCTTTGCTCTAGCTGCTAGAAAGTAATTTGCAGCCGGCCTCGCACGGCACGCGGTTTTGAGAATGAGCTTGCTGCCGGCTCCATCGAGTACACCTGCCCTTCCGTGCGAATCACTTAGGACCTTTGCCTGCTAACTACTCGAAACCCTTCTTGGAAGGAGGCGGGAATAAATGCTGAGCTCCATGTGTACACACATGCATAAGCTAGGTGGACTGAGTGCAGAGTTTCAGTGTCCTGAAACTCACTTCGATTGTCACAGTCAGATGAGCGTGACCTTATCTCAGCAGTGGGGACATTATACTGTCGGTTTCTAAAATCCCACAGAATTCCTGCCTCTTGACTGGGTGAGTCTGTCTTGGTGGTGCTCGGGGCTGTTCGGGCCTCTGGGAGGAATAGGAAAGAGGAAATGGAGCCAAGGTGGAGGGCATTTTACAGGCCTCTCTCTGCAACAGTCAGAGATAGCGGTTAATTTACACTTGGGTAGGTGAGAAGCCATAATTGAGGCACTAACTAGTTGACCTCCCCAAACTAGGACAGCCTTTGTAGGGCTGGTCTGAGAGGGCGATGATGATTCTATCAAAATTGGAAAAAAAAAAAAAGTGAATCCTGTTAAAATCGGACCTGGAGGAACTGTGAACAGCATTGCTGTGTGCTGATAACATGGGGCATTCTCTCTCCTTTCCCCACACAAAGGAGTTAAACTTAGTTTGGATGAATTAGTTAAAATATAATACTGAAAGTGAGCTAAACAAACTATAGAGCTTTTGTGCAAGTGCTGTTTCTTGCCACAGTATGAGCGGTAGCCCAAAGTGAGTCCCGCTGGGCCGGGACTGGGCATCATGGGACCCAGAGGTAGGTGCCAAGGTGGCCACTGTCCCTTGTGCGTGTAGCTCTTGGTTTATGAGGGATGGTATTTTACTGTGTGAGTGGAACCTTGACCTGAGCCCCCAACAGAGACCTAAATCAGATAAATTCTTTGCTGGCGGAGTGTCTGTTTTTAGACATGGAAATGGTACTTAGTAGCAAACTTTTCACTGATAAGAGGTGTGTGTGTGTATAGAGAGGGAGGGAGGGAGGGGGAGAGAGAGAGAGAGAGAAATGAGAGAATTTAATCTCTTAACCATCGCAGCCAAAGGCAGCCGCACCGTGGATGCCCAGCCCCAGGTCTCCTAGGTTCATTAAGCTGGGCCCGTAGCTGTATTCGTCGCAGCCATTAGACACCCAGCCCTAAAGGAAAGCCCGCGATTACATAACCAGGCCGCGTAGGGCTATGCTGAGCACAGATGTGCATTTAATTGAAATAACCTCAACTACACGTTCCACAAGTAACAGGAAATATCAGATTCCAGCAACTCGGGGTGCAAGGAGGCTCACAGTTGCCAGGTGACCTCTTTAAACCCCCCGAGGGTTAGTTTCCAGCTGCGTGCAGCCCGGTGAGCCTGCTGTGCAGAGCCCCCCCTCCTCCTTTATGCACCCACCACAGGCACTGTGGAAATGCCCCGGCTGGTTTTGGCTCATCTTAGTGAAGTCTCTGGGCATGGCTGCAGCTATCTCCAATTAAAGAGTAGCTGCGGGAGGGGGGATGCAACAACAGTGTAATGAAACAGTGACCTTGGGGCCCCTTTTATGAGAAATCTCCCCTGACAGAGGTTCTGCAAATTAGTAATTCTGTGTTTGAGCAAGGCTTCTGGCCTCCGAGACTATAAGCAACTCCAGGTCCCTTAACTCCAAGAGTCTGTCCTTAACTCGGGAAAGCAAGGAAATTTGAAACCGGAGCTCAGATGCTTGTGGAATAAGGAAGGATGTGTGGTGTTGACTGCAGCCCTGCCAAGGATGTGTTACGCTCAGTGGCCACCGAGCTTTTGAGCTTTCAGCATGAGCACCTGGAGCTGGGGTTGTCACTGCTCCCGGGGCCCAACTGGCAGACAGAGGTGGCAAATAAAACCCAACTGTCCCCCACGTGGTGGCTAGGAAATCCCACACTGGCAGGAGCACGGGAGGAGCCTGAAGTTACTAAGGGATATATATACATATATATGTTTTTATTGATTTCAGAAAGGAAGAGAGAGGGAGAGAGATATAGAAACGTTGATAAGAGAGAAACATTGATCCGCTGCCTCCTGCACACCCCCTACTGGGGATCGAGCCCGCAACCTAGTCATGTGCCCTGACCAGGAATCAAACTGGTGACCTCCTGGTCCATGGGACGACCCTCAACCAACTGAGCCACACAGGCGGGGCAAGGGTCGTCTTTTATCTACCACCTATTGTTGGTCCCTACGGGGCGATAGTATCCCTCAGGGCCGCGGGGGCCGGTT